TGTGTCATACATTAAACAATGTTTTAAGGGCGTTTTTTCTTTTACGGCGTTTTTTAGAGCGCAGCTCTTAGGCGCCTGTTCCCGGCTTGAGCGACGTCGCCGTCGCCATCGGCGTCGGCCTAACCGCGCGGTGCATTATGGGTAAATTTCCCCTCTAAATCTAGCGGAAAAATTGCCCCGCTAAATCTAGCCGAAAAACTTCCCCGGTAGATCTAGCGGAAAATTTTCCCCGCTAAATCTAGCGGAAAAAATTTCCCCACTAAATCTGGCGGAAAAATTTACCCGCAAAATCTAGCGGAAAATTTCCCCCGCTAAAATCTAGCGGAAAAATTTCCCTGCTAAATTTAGCGGAAAAAATTTCCCCGCTAAATTTAGTGGAAAAACTTCCCCGTTAAATCTAGCGGAAAAACTTCCCCGCTAAATCTGGCGGAAAAATTTCCCCGCTAAATCTAGCGGAAAAATTTCCCCACTAAATCTAGCGGAAAATTTTCCCCACTAAATCTAGCGGAAAAAATTTCCCCGCTAAATTTAGCGGAAAAACTTCCCCGCTAAATCTAGCGGAAAAACTTCCCCGCTAAATCTAGCGGAAAAACTTCCCCGCTAAATCTGGCGGAAAAATTTCCCCGCTAAATCTAGCGAAAAAATTTCCCCGCTAAATGTAGCGGAAAAATTTCCCCGCTATATCTAGCTAAAAACTTCCCTGCTAGATCTAGCGGAAATATTTCCCGCTAAATCTAGCGGAAAAATTTCCCCGCTAAATCTAGCGGAAAAACTTCCCCGCTAAATCTAGCAGAAAAATTTCCCCGCTAGGTCTAGCGGAAAAATTTCCCCGCTAAATCTAGCGGAAAAAATTTCCTCGCTAAATCTAGCGGAAAAAATTTCCCCGCTAAACCTAGTGGAAAAATTTCCCCTCTAAATCTAGTGGGAAAATATTGGTCACGTGACCTGGCGGGTCACGTGACCCCTCCCTTGAGGTCACGTGATCCCCTTCCGAGGTCACGTGACTCCCCCTCCACGTGGACCCCCTCCCCTGAGATCACGTGACCCCAACAAGGTCACGCACCCTCGGGGGGGTCATGTGTGACCCTTTCCCCTATGTCACGTGACCCCCGAGAAACCGTGGCCCTCAGTACACTTCCCTCCTCCTCCTCAAGAGCTGCGCTCCAATTCGGCGTTACAGGGAGTGGTAAACGGCTTTCACTTTTTTACAGCAATTTTTAAAATTTTTTGTTGAAGTTTGTGATGATAATATTATTATACTTATATAAGAAGTGCCAGTTTGCTTTCCTTGACGAGTGTGGTTACTATAAACTTTTGCTGCAATCTGCTACATGCATATGTAAGTGTACTAAAAGTGAACCTTTCAAAGAATGCTGCTGTCATTAACCTCTGCGTGCTAAATGGGTAACTTAGTGCCAATTCGGCCAGCAGATCAATTCAGCTGGACTCAAAAACTGCCTTAAAATGTAAAAGAATAATCACAACAGCTGCCCTACATGTTGAAAAAAAAATTAATAGTCCAGTCGAATCAACGGGAATTTGCGAATCCAATATATATATATTTTTTTTAGAAAAGTCATTTGAGCGGTGCTTAAAACAATTCAGTTCCGTACTATCCGTTAACAAGGTTTGTGTTAATCATTCTTAATTTTTGTGCATTCTTTTTTTTTCTTCTTTCGGTCGCACTCAAGTTATCGTTTACCTGCGGTACAATCAGAGTTTATTCATTTTACAAACGCTTACCGACGTTAGTTTTGCGCTACTGAGGAAACAAACGACGGAATGTAAGCTAGGCTAGAAATTATCTACAGGAGAAAGATATTTTTTTTTTTTTCACTCGTAGACCGCCGCCTTGGCTGGTATAGGGAGTTACTCTTGTTTGTCCGCCTGCCATTGCTCTGGTTATGAAAACTTCAGTTTGCTGAGTGAGATGATAGTTGAATGGCCCCACCTCTATACCACATCGTACGCCAACCGGTAGCCACCGGAAAGCAATCTGCACGCCAAGCAGGCGGCTAGCACAGGCGGCCCGGTGCACTGCCGGATGGCCTGAAACTTATGGCGCCATCTGGGGGTGGCTCCGTGAAGCGAAGCGCGTGGGGTGTCATTATCTGGTCGCGGCGGAGAGCGGAGTCTCTACACCTAAAAAGCCTTCCTACACCGTGGACGGGGACCACTGGTGTAGCGAAGTCGCTTGTAGTTACTGGTGAAATTATACGCATCTCTTGCGTGGTAATGAGCTCCTCTTCCACCTTTGGCTTGAGAGCATACAAAACTGGCCTTTCCTTCAGAAACTGCGGAGTAGCATCTTTCTTAAGGGGGGACGTTGGCCTTAAAAACTGAAAAATCGCGAAAAAGGCGAGTTTTTGAAAAACATATTTCTGGGTTGTATATCTTTTAATCTACCTTCTCTGTAATTATCACCACTAAAATCACTAAGAAAATATTAAAAAGTAAAATATTTACGGGGCCTGGGTAGCTTTCAAGTGGCAGTCCAGTGTCAAAATGAACTAAAAGCTTGCGCTATCGGTGCTCCCGTTCTGTCTGGCCAACGACCACCATTTTTGTCTTGTTTTGAACGTGAGTTCCTTCTCTTCTTTCTCCTGATTTTGTAAATAGCGTCAGCCTCGTGGTTTCTGTGCGGTCGGCGTTTTGCCATGTTGCAGTTGCACAACCGTGGTTGGACAAAGCGCACGCTCCTGAAGCGCATGGAGGAGCATGCAACTACTATTGGCCGCGGCGCGCGTCCTCCTTTCCCTTTTTCTCTCGTCGCTGCCAGTCATGTCGTCTCCTACGGTAGTGGTCTCCTTGCTTGCCCTGGGCATTGTTAGCTCCACTTCGCTTTTCCCCTTCTTTACGATCGCTCCCGCTGAACTTTCAGCAGTTTCTTGTAGCTTGCCCATCTATTTCGTAACCGCACACAATGCGTAAAATGCGCGTGTTCGGCATAAAGCTGATCAGGATGGCAAAGTTGAAAGTTTCTGCACAGCGTGCCGCCAATGCTTATCACGTCGACGCCTCCAGTAATGGATCTTCCGTGTCATCGGCTGCCACTTCCGAGAAAGGAGCAGTCGCTGCGAATATGCGTGGTGTCCTGAGCGCATCTACCGATGCAGTTTCTTCCGAGATTGCAGATTCCAGTGCTCGCCTGGTGCCTATTGCGAGTGGGAGTGCATCGTCCAGGGCCCATCTTGTGATGCATTTTCTGACGCGTGAAGAAATCGAAGTTGCCACAATACATCTTGAGACTGTTCAAGTCGAATTTGGTGCCATGCCAGCAACCCAAAGGAAGCTTCAAGCCATGCAGCCCGATCCCACACCTGCCACTGTTACAAGTGAAAGTGCGAAATTTTGCCTCGTTCAGATGGACGTTTTGAGCAACCTGCTCTCCTGCACTGTGTGCAAGCATTGCTTGAGGACTGGGTTGACTGTAGAAGAGGGCATCAAGCTGGGACTGGCCACAGAACTCGAGGTCATATACCCACTTTGTGACATTGTTGCAAGTGACTGGGGTTCACCGCACCAACAAGACTCGATTGCCTTCAAAGTCAACATTTGATCCATAATGACTATAAAGCAGATTGGAAAGGGGCAGACAGCTCTCAATGATTTTTGGGCTGCCATGAATGTCCCCCGCACAGGTCTCCACCACAAGACATTCCAGGAGCACCTGAAGAAGACCTTCAGAGAGCAAAAGGCCCTGTGCATGGACAAGTTTTACGCTGATTCAGCCGGTGCTGCGAAGACAGCCTACAAGAAGATTCAGATTCTTCTCAGATTCAATGCTGGCTGCTACAAGGCTACAACAGAGATCTCGGTCTCAGTGGAACTCCAGCCAGCCAATCTAGCCCTCCAGCGAGCCGCCGAGAAAGATGCCCAATGCACGCACAAGGCCAGAAAACAACAGTAGATAAGACAGAGAGGCGGAACAAGAAGAAAGTGCACAGGGACACTTCCAGCTACCTACTCTACAGGGTCATTCTTATGCGGAATGTGTGTCTAAATTTCTAGCGCCGTTTGCTCAAAATGTATTTTTCCTCTGCCGTGGCTGCTCATCCCCGTCATATCTCGGGAACTGTTTATCCGATTTGCGTGCTGTCTTTTGTATTTTGTTCCTAAATAACTTTGTGAGGGCATGACATTCTTGTTTTAGAGCACAGCTCTTAGGCGCCCGTTTCCAGCTTGAGCGGCGTCGCCGTCGGCGTAACCGCGTGGTGCATTATGGGTAAATTTCCCGCTAAATTTAGTGGAAAATTTTACCCGTTAAGTTTAGCGGAAAAATTTCCCCTGCTAAATTTAGCAGAAAATTTTCGCCTGTAAATTTAGTGTTCCCCGTTAAATATAGCGGAAACTTTTCCCGCTTAATTCAGCGGAAACTTTTCCCCGCCAAATTTAGCGGAAAAAGTTTCTCTGCTAAATTTATCTGAAAAAAATTTTCCGCTAAATTTAATGGAAAAAATTCGCCGCTGAATTTAGCGCAAACATTTAAAAAAAAATTCCTGCCAAATTTAGCGGAAAATATTTCCTGCTATATTTAGCGGAAAAATTTCCTCGCTCAATTTAGCGGAAAAAGTTCCCCGCTAAATTTACCGGAAAAAATTCCCCGCTAAGTTTAGCGGAAAGAATTCCATGCTAAATTTAGCGGAAAAATTCCCCACTAAATATAGCAGAAAAATTTCATTTAACGGGAAAACGTTCTCCTAAATGGGAGGAAAGGAGGAAGGGCATAGCCTCCCCCCCTTACCTTCTCCTCCTCTTCAAGAGCTGCACTCTATTTCGGCGTTACAGGGGATTGTAAATGTCTTTCATTTTTTTTTTTCAAAAGTTAAACTAAAAATTTTTAAAAATAAAAAAAAAAATTATGAATGTGTGTGTTTGATTGAAAACTGAAACTTCAACATTGTGCTAAAATTTGTGTACAAAGAAATTTAAAAAATGCTTTGTTATGCCCTGGGGTAGGGGAGAGTCGGGAGGAATGGTACGCTTTTCACAAATGCATTTTTAGTTTTGTTTATTTTGAACGCAAAAAGATGGTTGATGGATAGTACAAGTCGAAACAAGCTGCGCAAATTCTGCGAAACACAGGTTACTGCCACTTCTAGAGCAACTGCTAAAAAATAGTTTCTAACAGCTAAAATCTGTCCCATTCCACCTGTCCCTTCGGGTGGAGTGGGACATCCTTTGGGAGGAATGGGACCCCAGTAAAATATCGGTCCCAACGTCTTCAGCGGACATTAAAAGCTGATAGTTCCACATCGAACTTGAAGCAAGCTTGCAGGCGCTTCGTTCCCCCAATAGTTTTTGGCGCTGGCAGCTTCTTCACAATATCCGTTATTGGCACAGTCCCTATATCTTTCTGCGGAGGAAAGTAAAACTTTGAGCTCTCTTCTTTCTTTCGAAGGAACTGGACACTGACGTCAATATTGTCACTACTTTCGACTCTACCCGTGTAATAAACGTCAGATTTTTTCTTACCAAATCTGACAAGGACAAAATCGCCTTTTGTCACTTGAAAAGTTCTATTTGGGCAATCGGCCTCAGAAATGTCCCGCCTCTCATTATCGGAACCCGACATGTCACTGTCTGAATCATCAAATGCAACAGCAACAGTGTCGTCTTCCCTTGAAGAACTGAACTCCTTCTGAAGTCGCCGTTTCTTTTTTGGGCGGGTAGTGGCGACAGTCTTAGCTGTGATAAGCGCTCTTTTTTTCAGACTCTGTCGTGCCAGCCTCTCTGCAGCTTCTTGTTCAATCGCATGCTTCTCGGGTGTATCCGTAAGGACTTTTGTCCTACCTATCTTCCTTCCTTTTTGCCCTGTCTTACGCGGTGCAGCCTTAGGGTAGATCCTTAGGTCGCTCGGAACAATCCGGCTGGGAGATACAGTTGACGTTGAGGCTGCGTTGGCGACAGTAGGTGGGAAGACATCTGTAGAGACGTTGCTAGCTCCATGGCCGTTTGTCTCAAAGTTCAAATCACTTTCCAGTCGGCTTGCGCTGTCCGTTTTCTCGGTGATGGTGGCCGTCTGTCGTGACACCTCTCCGCTTACGGACGTTAAGGGTCTGTCAGTGACTGATGACATCATGTAGTCATCCGAAGTGAAGGGCTCGCTATTGAAAGGCCAAATTCCAGTTTTTTGAAAGCCCGAGATTATGTTCTTTTGTGTCACCGTTAATACGTAGGCGGATCCAACTAGTTGTGCAACATTGTGGATGGAGATGGTCTTCCCGGGGTTATTTATGAGCCAATCATTGTAAGCAGCGTTGTACCGAGATTTAAATGGTCCGTACACGGACACATCAAATGGCTGCAGGCGGTGGCTACAGTGTGGGGGAAAGGTCAGCAGGATGACTCCGCTCTCTTTGGCCTTGTTGATGGTGTTGATGCTCACATGGCTTTCATGATTGTCGAGTATCAAGAGAATTGGCTCCTCCTTCGAGCACTTCGTATGTCTCACAGTGTGCTCTAACGCCAGCAAAAACAGTTCGCTCGACATCCAGCCCGACTTGCTTGCCAAACCGAGGCTTCCTGCCGGGGCGCCTTTTAGAAAAAAATCTTTATACCTCACGTGTGGGAAAATGAACACTGGTGGCAGGGCGTTTCCGATGGCATTGACAGTGCACAAAACAGTCACCAGTTTGCCGCGTTCTGCGGATGTAACCTGACCGATTTGCTTTTCTCCACGTGCTGCTACTACCTTTGGTGGGTTGTGTGCAGTTGTGAAACCCGTTTCATCACAATTGTAGATGCGGTCCGGAGTTAGCTTGTATCGGTCGTAGACACTTTTCAGGTTTCAAAGGAAAGCATCGACGTTGTTCTTATTGAAGCTTGTTGCCCGACCCAGACTGGTCGCTTCTGGCGATCGAAGCGATAGCTCGGGATCGCGGTCCATAAAGCCCATAAACCAGTCTCTTCCAGCTACCTTCTTCTGCTCCCATGATGCCGGGCACTTCCTCTTTAAGGCTGTTGCAAACTCGTACGCCAGTGAACGAACTTGCATTCTCGTAAGCCCATAATGCATTTTGCTTGCTTTCAGCAAATATTCTTTCAAGAGTACTTCATCTTCTGTTTTGAAGACCATTCCGCAGACCAAATTGGACTTGAACATGATGCCACCTGTGTCACCGCATTCTCTGTACTTCTTCACTGCTCGGCCAAGCGATGATTTTGATATTTCAAAAGCTTCTGCTACGTCTCTTCTACTTTTCTTTTCATCGCACACCAATCTCACAGCATCCAGGATCAAATCGTTCGATGTTTGAGCTCTGTCGGGATGCTTCCTCTTGTAAACCCGCGTCATCTTCCTGAAAATGGAAATGGATCAAAAATTGGCAAATTTAAATATTCACGCACACCAAGCACGCTTAACGTCCTTGCATGCACGTAGCAGCACTCATATTGCTGCCTATTATTCACGTGCTTATTCCGGGTTTCTCGCAAATGTGTACAGTAATCACACCTTTTTAGTGGAGAAACATTGCATTTTATGATGCCCTGTTGGTTTAGCGCGTCTTATTGTCAAGTGTCGCAGAAACAGCCTGTCTGTTATTTAACATCACGGCACCAAGCATTTGTACACTTTAAATAACAAATAAAAAAATAACTGCTTTCGGAACTAAAGCGGCGCAGCATTGAAGCTTATTCGCTAGACACAGCACCAGGCGTATGGTGGGGAGGAATGGGACACTGTCCCATTCCACCCGCGACTCAAATGTCCCATTCCTCCCCAGGTGGTTCGCCCAACGAAAAATACATTCAACGGCGAAAATTCTCTTGTTAGGGCTAAACTTGTTATTGCATAAAGCACGACCCTAACGCGTGTTTTCGAAGAAAAATTGGTATCAGCATAGTCAGGGCAGTTTAAAACTGAGAGAGGTGTAATTGAGTAAGCGGATACTTGCTTTTGACACGTGAAAAACGAGAGTTGTAGTCAGAGAAAGCTCCGTCCGGTGAAGAAGGCCACCATTACAGCCAGGCTATCGGTATGCTAGCGCCATCTCGTGAGCAGTCGATGAACGTGTTTGAACTAACTCCTGGAGAGATAAACGAGCTGTCCCATTCCTTCAATTGTCCCAAACCTCCCGACCCTCCCCTACCTATCCAGCGGTCACCATGACGAATTTTACACTGCCAATGCCTTTCGCAGGTTCTCCAGGACGGGGATGAGGGGGACATGTAGCTAGGGCTCCGTGTTTTCGGATAAATCCGAAAAACTCCGAAAAACACCCGCCAGTAAAATTTTGGTCAATTCGGATTTATCCGATAAACTCCGAATATTTATGTGTCATGCCACCTCACCCCCCCTCCTTTTTTTCTGTTGCCCTGGGGCAACAGAAAAAAAGTAAGACTTTTTTTTTTTTTTACAGTTTGATCACCACAGAGCCAATAGTCATGGGAAAATTTCACCATAATTATCTTTCAAATCTCGGACCGTTGTCAAAAGGGGTCTTGCCGCTTGTCTCTTCAAGGTTTATTCAGGGCAACAGGTCTTTCGTTGTACATTCGGGTCACGACAAAAGCAACTCTTTTGGTTTCCTGTTTGGGTCATGCGATTTGTGATTTAGAGAAAGGAAAGGGTATGTTTTAGTAACAAGGAAAGCTATGGACCATAGAGATTGTATAAAATTGGGGAAAAGCGCAGTCCAAACTTCGCCTTGCACGCTGCCGTGTACGTGCCTGATCTGTGCAAAATAAATCAAATCAAATCAAAATCAAATCAAATCTATTACCTCTTTAACCACTCCACCTCGCGCGGCCGCGGTATTGTATTGTATTGTAATAGGACGGGATGACTACGAGCTTCCTAGCGACTACCTCCGGGAGTTTATTGATTATAAGGTATCGGCGTTTATCGAAGCGTCACTTGTGTGTGACATTTGTCGTGGATAAATTAGTATTGTCAATGGCAATGACACCAACGCCAAATTCAACTGAAGATAGTTCGATTGATACAAGCACCTTTCATTTTTTATCTGGCATACGTTTACATCCGGTTATTATTTATTTATTTTTGATAGGAAACATTGCAAAATTAAACTCCGAATTTCGGAGAATTGGGAATGAAAAAAATATAAACTCTGATAAACTCCGAATGTTCGGCAAAAAATAAACTCCGAAAAACACTCTCCGAATTTGACGAAAAATAAACTCCGAAAACACGGAGTCCTACATATAACCCATCTTGATAAACTCATCACTTGAGAATGAATAATCACAGCCTCATGAAACTTTGCAGCTAGTCTTATGTTAGTGTTATGAACATGCCCCAAAATTTTCATTCAGGTATCTCTAGAATAAAAAAGTTAATTTTCCGTCCCCACCTGCCACCTTAAAGGGGCCCTTCAATCATATTTAAGCGTCTACCTTTTTTGCGGTTTCCACGTCTCTTGAAGTTCGGGCAAGCCAGCGGGCACAATGAGAGTAACTAAATATCAGTGCGCCATATTTTAACCGGACGACGAGGAAACCTCCTCCACCGACGAGGGCGACCCGCGGTACCGAAAGTGCGCAAAATGTGACGTCTTTGGTCCTTGGCTTACTACTGGTCAGATCCGCTAAAAGCTTCTTTTTAGTCGAAATACAAAATATAAGTGGCGCGAACCGTTTCAATTACTTATAAAAGTAGTTTTTGTTCACTATTTTAGATGAGAAAAGAAACAAATGCAGTTTATAAAGTACGGAAACAAGAAATGACCCGTCGACATACCCGCCACCAAGCGGTGGAAAAGGCGGCGCATACTAGAAAGAAGTAGTGGGATCAGGCGCCGACACGGAAAAATCCCGGATGTACGCGGCAGCGCTGCGGTCGTTTGGGCAGGAGGATCCGACCGGCTCCGAGCCTTCCGAAGGCCTTCGGCGAGATGCTTGTCTTGCGGTTTGGCCGTTTCGCGGTATGGCAGCGCGAAGTGGCTTTCACTCTGAACTGATCTTTACCTCGTGTTTGCTGTCGTTTGCGGCCAATGAAGTGTCATGCCGAATTAGTGTTTAATCACGCAGAAAATGCAATGAGAGCCGCTCTGGCTGCCCGCTGCGTACAGACTGTACTGAACATGCTTCAGTGGCGCTCTCTCGCGTCGTTGACACGGAGTGCGGTAGCCGTGAGCGCTCGCGATGAACTCACTACCCCTCCTCTAGTTCACGGCCGCTCAAGCAACCAAGGACGTCATGAGGGAGGTTATTTTTTGCTTGTTTTTGTAATTTTGATTTGCCTACAACTTTTAAAATAAAGCGAATTTCAAGAAAATAAAAGTTACACTAATTTACTACGTTCAGTGCGCTCAGGTTTGGTACAAATTAAAAATTAGTAAAAACGTGCCTGCAGGGCCCCTTTAATGTAAGCTTCACTTCATCACCAGTTATCTTGCCTAACTTTCCAGAGAAAAGTGCGTCAAACTTGCGTAGCAGTGTCCGTAACTCCTCTTGATCGGTGCAATATTCCTTTGTTGTTCCAGATAACTAACCTGTAGCTTGAGCTGCAACCGGTCTAAATGGATATGTTGCAACCAGTCGTGCCCGATCATAAACAGACATGACTCACTCAGTACAAACAGTGGTAACATTTGCTGTTGATTGTTGTGTTTCACTTTGACTGTGATGGCACCCGCAGGGTGAATCGCCTCACCTGTGTACGTCTGCAAGGTTAGTGGCGTAGTTTCAAGCTTCACTGATGGAAAAGTTAATTCTGCTGTCTGTCTGAAATAACAGACACAACAGCGCCAGTGTCAAGTTTCATTGCTAAAATACAGTGATGTGATTGCTGCACCGATTGCGCCAAACTGCTCCAAGTGGCTGCCGCCCGACACAAAGTACCCTACAGGCACGTAGCCAGGATTTTGATTCGGGGGGGGGGGGGGGGGGGGGGGGGGGGGGCCGCCCGGTGACAAAATGCTGTATGAAGGAGAGGAGGAGAGGAGATCCCAGCAAAATGAACTATTTCCCCCCCCTTGGCTTCTTGCTTGGTACCCTGCATCAATCGTCCATTCGGTCTTGCATGGTTTTCCCGCCGCCTCGCGTTTCGCGCTTTCGTCGTCTCGGTCTCGTCTTGCGTCTTTTCTTGAAATATTTTCAACGATAGACGCGGGGTATGCGGACGCTCCGACGCTAGCGTGCCGGGGTACCAGCCATGCCGTCATGCTGTGATACGAAAGCATGTGTTTTTGCACGGCGGGAGTTATTTTGTGAGCTGAAGCACTCGCTCCTGAAAGCAATGGCCGTGGGAGAACTATATTTGGTCCCCGCCTTCCAGTCACCGTGGTCGCGCGACGTCGGGTGTTGCCATCCCCATGTCGCTGCAGATACGGCGCTTTCTAAACTGAAACTAAGTACCGCCACATGTTCATCAAACTTTCTGTTCTTGTGTAGATCATACGTTGCTACAAAAATCCCCCTTTAACTCAAAGATTGCTATGTCCAAGCATTGATTACGTGGGTTTCTCTCGGTGGGCTTTTTTTCGAGAGGGACCCTGGTACGTCAAAAATCTGTTGCGGAAGAAAGTTGGTGAAGAGAAGTGAGCTAAAGCAAAGAAGGCAATGTCCGCACCGGTCGTCGTCTGCATGCTGAACCCGCACAGCGCGCTTGTTTCTCTCGAGTTCAGTCGTTGCACAAAGCGCTCCATTAACGTTTTGACCCTGGCTCGCGATGTCTTGCATCGATGTGCTCAGGATCTTTTTTTGTGTGTTTAGCTTGTACCTTGTTTGCCGACCTGGGAAGCACGCGCCACTGGGCTGTTTCTTTTTTTTTTGTTATGGTATGCTCAACAGTTCATTTTGCATACAATTTTGGGAATCAGTTGGTGACGAAGCGGAGTGGCATGGTTTCGGTTTCGATCGAATAGCCGTTGTCTCCGCTCGTGCGATGAAGCACGCGCAACTGCAAGCCTGCCAAAGTTGCCCTCACGTGCATGCGATCATGATTGCACGACAGAGACACAGCCGGGAGGCTTGCAATCCATTGTTGTATGTTTGCTTACTTTTGACGAAAATCTGGCACGTCGGGAATCAGTAAAACAGTGGCAAGCCATTTTTTGGAATTGCTCGGCAATGCCTACAGCGCTGTACACTTATGGGATGTCTCAGCAGTAAAACCACTGGCAGCGAGTTCCGTCACAACACGTCACATCAGAACAGAACACAACACAAAGTACATTTGTTTCTAGAGCCCTTAAAACAAATACTTTTGTGTTTCTAAGAATATCTGCTCCAAAAGTCACTTCTGCTGCTCTAAAACACCTTTTCGGTTGCTCCAAAGGCCATATTTGCTGCTCCAAAACGCTGTTTTGGCTGCTCTGAAAGGTGCTCCCAAATGGCTTAGGCCAATCACGTCACTGAAAATATGATCTTCGACGGTTACCTTCCACAAAATCGGCGCAGAAGGTCTCCATCTTCTGGAATGCCAAACCGGTCGATCGAACGCATGTTTTCTGTCTGTAACTGCTGATCCCTACCAAAAATAACGGTTTGAAATTAAATCGGAATGAATCCGGAGTTTCAGACCGTCATATGGAACCGGGAACTAAATCGGAGACGACCAATTCAGAAACTTAACCGGAGACAACCAATCCGGAGGCCTAACCGTACTTGGTCAAATCGGATGTGGCCAATACGGAGAATTTAACCGGAATGAATCACACCGGAGATTAGGCCGTACCGGGCCACTCCGGACAAAAAAGGAATTAGATTAATAAAGAGCTAATGCTCAGTTTCACCTTCTGGTGTACTGAGGCTGATGCTAAGAGCCTTTTGAGTCAGTCCAGTGCTTGAGAGCATGTCATCCGACTCTCTGGCAACACCCAGCGGCGCGGAATGCGTTGAGCCATGCAACATATTCACTGCGCTTGGTTGGTAGGAATGGCTATAGCATCTGCTGCACTACATCAGAGGTAAAACAGAACATAGTCAGTGTTGGTTAGTCATCAATATCACTGCAAATAATGAGGTACGACACCACACAGGGAATTGTGAAAAAAACGAGAAGATTCATTTATATAGTCTGAAAACACACAATCGCATAAAATCTGAGGAATGATACATTTAAAATTTCGTAAAACATTTAAAAAAAATATGTTTAAGGCTCAAAACTCAGACATTTCACACCAGGGTTCGTACAGGCTTTAAAGAAAAAAATTCAAGGGTTTTTAAGAACTTCTAAGGACCTGTAAATATACATTGAAATACTCATCTAGTAAATTTGTAATATATCATCTTTTTAAAATGCACTGCGAAAATTCTTTATTGCACAATACCTAGGAAAAGGCGCATTTGCCGAGGAGGTGCTAGTTTTCAAAAGGACCCGCGCACCACGCACACACAAAATCCTCTACAAAAAAAATCAAGAAAATAAGGCAAAACCACAAATATATACAAGAGAGCCAACTAGGTATACAGAGGGGTTTAAAGCGATAAAGTGGTATTCCGTTCACCAAGCAAAACTGACCCCCTCTTGGCTGCCGCCATGTTGTTTGACCGCTGGACACATGACCGTACGAAATACTGAGGTTTTTACGCAAAACTAAGCCGAGATTTTTATTGCGATTGCAGTAAAAACATGATAAACTATTTTTTTAAATATATTTAGCCCCAGAGATCAGTGTCTAGCTTTGATAAAAAGCCAAAATACAGCACCACGGCTGACGGCACCTGGCGGAGGCATTTCGAAGCTGCCCAAGTTTTTGTCGTAAAAGCATGTTTTCGATTTAAAACAAACGAAACAACTTATCCCGTCAGTACCATTAACACATTCAAGACTGAAAAATGATTAATAAATCATAAAAAAAATATAGCTTTGTAAATAAAAATACATATTGCACAAGGTTCTTATAAGTATAATGCCAAAACACAATAAAAATTAAAAAAAAAAAAATATTGCAGCAAAAAAAAAAAAAAAAAAAGGACGAAAAGCGGAAGCGACTGGCGTTTAGGGTGGGGGAACTGCTAACGGAGATTCGTGGGCGTTCTTTGTGTTCTTCTTCGCCCTCTCCTCTTCCCTGTTCTTATCGACCAAATAGTCACCCAAGAGCTTTTTCACCACGTCCCTGACGGACGGCTCTTTGCCTTTCTTGGGACCTGGCTTGTTGCTGCCGTCCTCCTTGTCTTTCTTGCCGTCCTCCTTGTCTTTCTTGCCGTCCTCCTTGTCTTTCTTGATTTTGGCCTGCTTTTCTGCATAGCAGCCAAACGCAGCTGCAAAACCAGAGAATTGCAGCGTGTTTAGTTTTTATTGTCTGGAGTTCAGACAATAAGAAAATTAAAGTGTGTTTTAAATGGAGCGCCAATCGGTGGCTAAAGCGTAAGCTTGGTGACATCCTGTCAACGGCATTGGCAACCAGACTGGCTGGAAAAGTGCACGTGACATTAATGTGCATGCCTTTTGCCAAGTGGTTTTTGCTCCCACCTTCACCTGAAGCACCCGCTTATCCACATGCCATTCACATCTTCATAAAGAGATGTTCCAACAATTACAAACGCTGCTGGTTCTGGCTGCACCATCAACAACTGTGCCATCACCAAAGAGAAAAGGTAGCTGCAATCATGAGTTCATTTCACATATTATATTCTGAGTAACACAAATTGGTTAAAAAATATATTTTACTGTGTTACTGAAGTCTCATATTCGCGACTCCAGCAAAATGGACGCCACCAAGCAGGAAAACCGGGGACCAGCCGGACCAGGTCGCTCCGTGCCCCTCCGCGTCTCTGGTGGCTTTCTCAGATGCGTGTTGTCGGCACTGTGGCGAACGATGTAATTTGACGAAGGTCCGAAAATTTCTTGAGTTTGCCTGAGTGTTCATTAGTGTGGTGAAGCCTCAGTAGATTGTTTCCTTCCATCACGTGGTTGAAAGTCCGTTTACTCCACAACACACGGTCGTGTGCTTTCGATTTCTTGGTTGGGGAGGAATCACGGAAAAAACGTTTTGATTTCTTGTCTGTCTCTAATCACATTCAAAGTGACGACTACTTGGTAACTGATGTGGTTTCTTTATAAGGATGTAGAACAGTGAACTGAGGACGACAGACGAGGCATTTCACTGGAGGGAACACCAATGTGGCAGTGAAGTGAATGGGAAGGTTCGATAGCTGCTTTTCTGGAGTTTGGTTGTGTTTGATTAGCTTCAAGTTTGAGCCACCCACGCCGGTCGGTGTGTTGGCTATTCATCTTGGCTGCTTTTCGCCAAAAAAGCCTCTGTACCACTCTGAAGGAGTTGGGCTGACTTTCGCACTTGATTCAGGAAAACCTGCTCGCTGCAAATGATGAATGAGGGAAATTATCTGTTTTCAAAAGGTGGGGGACGCGTCTCGCAACGTTAGAAGCTGTCACGGCATTTTGATCTATCACGCCTCCAATATTGAAATTATACCCCCATCAAAGCCAGCAGCAATATACGTCTACGTTGATCAGGTTGACCGGCGACAAAAAATGCTCATTTTCATAGTTCAGGATTCGAAGCAAAGTTCAATGCAGAGAGGTTCTGCGTGAATCTCCAATGAAGACTCTCTTCAGTTTGTCTCCGTGCTGCCGGCTAGAACCATTTGGCTAAGTTTAAGTAGTATCTCTCTGTCTGTCAAATATACTTTTATTCAGCAGTTCACCTAATAGCTAGTCAACTAAGCCCATATTTCAACCCGAAGAATATACTAAGATTGCTTTAGTGGGACATAATACGTAATATAATACATAACCCGCTTGACAAAATGACTTCTCGATTGCTACTAAAACCTGAATATGAAATACGAGTATCAGCTGCTTAGTGGGGTGCCGGCGGGTTAACATGCTCCTTGGCTCGAGAAGCGCTTGCTTAATTTTCGTAACTTTCCTGCAGCCTGTGTTGTTGACCGGGCAGACGATTGGAGCTGTTTCCTAAATGTGGATACGCACAAAAGCTTGATTTCGCCGACAGATAAGTCGCATGGTCGAGGCATGCGAGTTAGCTGAAAATTGCTCTTGGTGGAACAATACTGTAGTAATCGCCGCTTTCCTTAGACGACCAAAACTGATTAGTATAATACCGTCTCTCCGGAGCCCATAGTTTCGGTTTTGAACGAAATCTCTGAAACAAAAGTTTAACAAGGAAAGAAAAAAAAAAAAAAAAAAAAACGGGAAAACAACACTATGCTTTGCAAGTTTATGTGCACCGGCTACACTTAACCGTCTCAGTTCAAATACCTATAAAATTGGGCATTAAACAAAACAAAATCTGTTCAATTGAACGCGCCACCTGTTCAGGCGGTCCAGTCGAGCCGACACGACCTGGACTCAGCCACCATGTTTGTTTGGTGGTGGCGCCCCCTATAGGTCGCTGGAGTCACGAATACTAGCTTGGGCGTAGGTTATGCACATACAAACCTAGTTGGAAACCCGTGGCAGGGTCCCTTAAATGAATAATCCACTCACCAATGACGGCATCAATCTTTTCTGGGGTGAGGGGTGTCTTCCCCACTGCCCCATTTTTGAGAAGGCGCCTGCAGGCTTGTCCGGTGACGCTCCGGTCAAACAGCGCTGCAGGCTCCCAGAGGCCTCAACTGACCATTCTCACGAACCGTCCAGGAGTGGACGCATGGGTGAGAGCGTGGGTCATCGTGGCCTCCGCCAGAGTTATGCCGTGGCCGAGATGAACCTGCAGCATGACAGGCAGTTTCAATATACAAGAAGAGGGCTCTCTCTATTCCTCTGTAGAGCTGCTGTAAGTTTGACCTGTATGACTTAAGTTTAAAAAAATCGGTACCCCATTGCTGATATCAAAATAAGCAGTAAAAAAGGGAATATGCAAACAAAAGATGGGTTTTTATTGCTCTACAGTACTCGTAGCATAATGCTATTCATCAGATGACAAAACCTTCTGTAATCACCGTTTGTTAAAACTAATTATTTTAAAGTGGAAAAGAAAGACCACGTATGCCACACACTAGTATATTACTATAGTAATACAGTAGAACCTCAGTTTATTGAAAATCCAGGATAACTAGTAGAATTTCTATGGTCCCATATAGTATCAAGTATAAATATGACCAAATAATATGTATGACCAGAGCGCACCTACCCATTAGTTTCTGGACTTTCGTCGGCCCGGCTCATTTTTTACATGCTAAGTGGCACAAATCAGCACCCAAATGCAATAACATGGCGAGTTTTCGTCATTCCGTTGCCTGCTTGCATGCGAATCCATGCATAAAAGTTATTTGTGTGCTTTTCTGCTTTTTCCATTGTGATCTGGGAGTCAGTGATGTCAATCTCATGTGCGATTGTAGTGCGGAGGGAACCTGCTGAAGCACAAAACCCTAACGCCGCGCCAGAAAGTGGGCCTCATCGAGAAAGCAGACAAGTTTGCATTTTCGAGAACGAAGCTTGCCGAGAAACATAAGCTGCCTCTCGACAAGGACGACAATTCTCTAGGCCTGCAACAAGACACTCACCAAAGCGTTCACTAATTTGTCTTCCTACCTATGCCGAGGTGGAAGGCGCCTTGATCACCTGGCAGACATGCTATGCAAACACTGAAAGTGATATTGCTGGGAGTGTGGCTGTTGAAACCCAAAATGGCAGCGACTACGAGTTACCCGTGCCTTTGCTCTCGGAGAAGTCGTGCAATTGCTAGGGGTTGTCTGCAGTTTTTTAGAGTATGTATATACAGTGGCTGTACGGAAACATTTGCCCAATCGTCATTTTTGAAAACACGATAAGTATCACCAACCACAGGAAGCGTTAAGCAGATTGACGATTACTTCATGTAACTGCATCATGTTTTGCAATAAAAAGTTTTTTAAGGTTTACCCGCACATGATTTTGGTTCTTTTATTTGTTTTTATTTTTTCGTATAATTTTAAATCCCGCTTAATTGGAATATCTTTCTCAGTCCAACAGACTTCGAATTAACGAGATACTACTGTATGTCCAGATACCATCAGCTATGCAAAACTTGTAAATGCATCGTATGTCAAAAAACAACTGCAACCAAAAAAAAAAAAGAACTTTTGTAACAGTGCGTATACCACACGCATGTTGCAAACATGCATTTTCCTTGAAGAAACGATTTAGCTCACTATTTATGCTGCACAATGGAATTTACATTAGCAGTCTACCTCTCCACTCCTCTCTGTCGCACTTGTTTGCACCATGTTGGTATGGTTACAGTAAAATGAAAGAGGATACATGAAGGAAAACACAGATTACTGCAAAATTACTCACACCCTGAATATTGTTTTCATTTTTCTCCATGCAAAATAGATTTTTGACACAACTTTTCTATCCGGGGGGGTACAGCATCCCTCTTACTACTTGCATTTTTTATAAGATTTATCCTCTATTCTTTTGGCTTTATTCTTTTAACCAGGCAACAGTTTGCCACTGTATCACCAGTAATGTTAGCACTGGTAATGAATTTGATTAGCCCCAAAGTACCAGATTTAGCAGGACGCATGGTTATTCATTTTGTGGACTGGTTAGTCACGAGTTCTCAACCCTAACAGTACAGATTTTCAGGTAGTAGAGCTTTTGGCATTTGTCTGTGGTGTGACCGAGTAGAAGACACAATATTTTGTTACATGGAGCTGGCTGCAAGCACCCTCCGTTATGCCTATATAAGTGGTGCACCGTGCTCTCAAAAGCCCTCGATCCAACTTACCTAGTGCTGGCACTAAAAAATGCAAACTTATTTAATTAAGCTTTTCCACACCACATATTGAACTGTTTGCCACCTGAAAAAATAATAAATGCACTTCCACATCTACAGCAAATACCCATTCTGAATGGTTCATTAGACAATGTAGACATACCATACTATACTAAAAGATAGCCACCTCAATTTAAGAGCAAACTAAGTGAAAATAATGGGAAAGCTAACTTTTAGAGCTTGATAAAAAAATATAAAAATCTTGTTGCAACAAAGCCAAGAACACATACACTTTTAACAAACTTTAAAGCCTGCGGATTTGCAGTTGAGTTGGCAAGATGAACTACCTACTAGTGAATTACATTATGCTATTTTAGACGCAGTGGGCCGTCAAGCCTGTTATGGCTGCAAGGGTTAACTGAATGTAGGATAACTGTCGTTTCCAGCCCTCATGGCTTGCTCACCTCCCCTTGTGGTTGCCCCGTTTCTGCGGAGGTGACCATTGGATTACCTTTAGGTGGTGGGGCATCTCTTAGGATACTAAGATGCATACGTAAAAAGCTTGCCTAGGTATTAGCTTTGTTAATATAATCAATAACACTTGTTCCAAAAACTGTCCTTTCAATGAAAACATTTAACAAAATCTTTTGTAGGCTCTCATGCATACTTGACCATCCAGGACAGCAAGAAGCGGAGGATAAGGAACATCCCCAGACTCCCCACAGCCAGCAGCCCCGGCATCACCTAGAAGTGCAAATTGAAAATTCTCAACATCAGCAACTTTAGAAACCTGGCTGGCTTTATGAAATTAAGGAGTTATATACAGAAATGAAGGACAGTCTACCCCGACTGTAACTTTACCTGCCACTCCAAAAATGTAAGAGTGCAGTTAATTTAACTTGAATTGCAAGCCTCTGCAGTCAGTTTCTGGGAGCAAAATCTAACTTTTGTGGTTGAAGCGACACAAACGTCTGTGCCATTAGGCAGGGACGCTAGGTACTTCCATGCCTCCATGGAGCTGGTCTCATGAAATAAAATACCTGCGGCTAAGTTGGCCGCAATTGGAGCAGCAGCTGCGAGATGAGCAAACCGGCCCTGGGTGGCGATGAGAATCGAAGAGCAGACCTAGTGACCCAAATGCCGATGCGTTACTTTAGGGCTCCGAGGGGGAGCGGAACCAGCTGGGCTAAGGATGACTAGGGCGCCTCTATGTTCTCCTTGCATTATTCTTTGCAGTACCTGATCAACAGCACATACTCTTGGAGAGAACACAAAGGGATAGCACAACACAAATGCTGCTGTAGTGCAGGCAAAATATGAGCTCAAACCTGAGACACTCACGTGCTCCAGAGCAAAGAGAAAGAAGCATTGCAAAAAGTCAAATTCACAAACTTGTGTTGCATCCAACCGAGTGCGACTGCAACCACTTGCAACGCTTAAAACAAGATGGCGGCGTCTGTGAGATGGCATTAACGGCAGTGTTGGGAACGCACTTACTGTATCAAAATGCATTCGGACATAACCACAGATGCCATTCACTGCATTAAACAGTAAATGTGTTGGTAACACTACAGTGCTTGGAACGCGTCTTCGACAGGTGTGTTAAGGCGTCCTCATTTTGGTCCCTCGATTTACACCTTGTGATGTCACAAAAATGTCATGCTGTTGCTGGTCGTGATCTTGGCGGCGGTCCAACAGCAAAGGTACAGTTGGCAGACGACTGTTCTACCTTGTCTGACTCTGCTGCTCAACAGTTGATGGAAACTCAAGTGAACATGAGACGGGACATTCCGATAACAGCAACTATTTATGTCCGCTCATCTTGTTAGCCGGCGCCCCTAATGAGTCGACAACCAACCGCAAGGATTGCGACACCCGATAGCATGACACTTTTAGCTTTTGTGGCAAATTTTATTGCCACTTCCGGACCATTTTGAACGCAATATGGGGGGGGGGGGGATATAGGACAGTAAAACACCAATCGAAAACGCGTTCCAGGCACCATAGTAACACTGCCATTGGCTGAACTGCGCAGACGCCGCCATCTTGTCTTAAGTGCCGCAAGCGGTTGCAGTCGCACTCGATCAGACTCAACGTAAGTGTGTCAACCAGCCTTAAGAAACTGCTTTGATGTCAGTACTCCGGAACAGATGCATACACATAGCAGGTGACTGATAGCACGCACAGTTGCCCTGAGAATGATTAATTGCAGCTCGGCACATGATCCCACAACTGCTCATACACTAGACTTCTGAACGAATTTAAACTTGTCTTGATCATTCTGATAATATGAGGAGAACATGAATGTGTTGTGCATGGAATGCCTGCACGAGTTTCTATCTGAAACATCTCACAGCTCCTCGTAACTGAGCATACCCAATCATACATAATGCAGGCGTAACGCACACACCAGACATTCTATGCTTCCCGAGTTTATCGAATGATCAAGGGAAGTTTGACTATTTTTTGTTTTTCTAAACCTCGACAACTGCACCGAACGAGAGATACTCGAGCTGTCTGTCCCTGATAATTAGGCAATGCCTAGGTTAATCAGGTCTCGTTACTGTTTTTGATAGAAAAAAGGGAGCCATTAAAATACTTCAGTCCTGTTAATAGGCTCATAACAGACCTACATCTCTTTCCAATAGCAAAACAAAACTTGAGACAGAGAATCCCTCAGCTCCATTAGAAAGAAATAATAATTGTGCAATTGCAGTGGTCATACTGGCCTTGTATAGTGACATGGATGTTGTTGCTACACTCTATGTATGTTAGTACTATGAAATACATTCCTCTTTGGTGTTTATACGAAGTTGACCCACACATTATTTATGAATGAACTGTAGTTTTTCATGTTCAGCTAATTTACATTGTCAGCAAACTTACTGTGTGGTTCAGCGGGAAGAACCTCCTCAGACTCTGTAGCCTCCACAGGGAGCGGGGATAGGTTCCCTGCAGGTTGCAGATGGGAACACTCCTCGGAGTCTGTCAATTCTTGCGTGCTGCCCGATGCCCCAGTTGTGCGGTACAGCATTGTAGACACACCTGAAAACAAAAATTCCAAGGTCAAATTTGACTGATCAAAAAGCGATCAAGCGTGTAAACCCCAAAGGGAATACCTGAAAAGGGGCATAAAAATATTCTGCAAAAAAACACAAACTTATTTATTGTAATTGAGCATGACAACCAATTCAAAACGTAGCATAGCAAGTGGCACACAAAGTATGGATATAGCTCATTGTACAATGCAAAGTATCTCAACCTGGTCGACACACAGTGAAAAGGGATAATCCAGGTGTGTGGATCCTCTACAAACGAAACAAAACAACAAGGAAAGGTGGAAAGCGGCTATAATTATCACTTTACACAACAGTGAAAAGGCAGGAAGAAGAGGGGTTTGCACCAGAGTGACGGTGGCCACCCGTTGGGCACATCATAATATTGGTTTTAGTAGGGAATTCAGCGTCACCTTGATGCAATACAGTAAATTCTCACTTGAGCGAACTCAAGGGACCCAAGGAAATAGTTCACTTATCTGAAAGTTCACTAAAGGCGGCTGGCATCGAGGCTACTTGAAGGATTATACGGCGTGCAAGTTCGTCTGCTTACTGTGCACGTCGTGCTTAACTGAATATCTTCACTAGAACATAGAACAGCATAGGGCACAGCATATATTGAGTCAAAAGTGTGAAATGTAATTTATGAAGTCATGTACATTGATATATACAAAGTGCATAACAGTTATGATGCTGCCTTTCTCATTTAAAAAAAAATCGAATTTTCATTTGCACCGGCGCTCTTAATGCGCATGAAGTAACTAGGCTGTCCAGAGAGTCTCTGTTTTTTTGCACTTCCTCGAGAATAAAAATAAAGTTTATTCTCTCTCTCTCTCTCTGGCACAGCTTGTTGCTGCGACAAAGCCATACCACAACAATATCATCCACTGACTGGAAATATCCCGTGCAGAGTCATTTGCTATTGCCATTGAGGTGCAGTTTCTCCTTCAAGCTTTGACTTTTGCTTCACTGTCGTTCACAACGTTGACGGTGGAATCTCATAGTCCTTCGCAACGTCCACTTGCCTTTCATCATTGTCCAGACACTGAGGAATTTTGAGCTTGTGTGATAAAGACAACCACTTCCGTCTCGTGCTCGTTACGAAAGTGGGTGCACAAACTGCCGTCCTACTGTTGTTACCCACAACAAAGATGGCCAAATGCAACCGACGAAAAGAAAAAACGGACGCACCACATGGTTAGTTTTCGTCTACCGCACCGCCGCTTTGCTTCGGCAGTACTGTGAAAGCCAGCGATAATAGGCGGGCATCGGCTACGCCAGCACTGCAGAGCACAAAACTTCAGTGAACTGATTGCAAAAATAATCCTGGGACCATCGATCAAGTTTGTTGAACTGAAATATTTGCTATTCAGAATTTGTTTTTCGTTAAACTGAAACATTTTTGCATAGAATGCATAGGAGAAGCGCCGGTGATTTTTTTAAGGTTCAATATCCTGAAATATTTGTTAAGTTGACGCTCGCTCAAGTGAGTTTACTGCACTTAGGCTGCTGTCTTATTTCGTGCCACTAAAGTGATATCGGCCATTTGTTTTCGTTTAACTTCTGATCGGAGTTTCCCTTTGGCTTCATACTTTCAGCAAGTTACATACTGTAAAGTAATGAATATTGCGAGTCTGATATGAACCAAGAAAGCATGTCTACTTTACCTCAGAGCACATGAACAGCCAGTCACTGCCATGTACAGAAATGGCCCATTGATTGACAATACACTGATAACAGATATACTTGAAAAAATCATCTGTGTCAAGACGCTCAACGCTGTCAACACCTTGTCATTCGCTGCCCTTCCTGCGAACAGCAGTGACGCTATTCACATGATCTGCAGTAAAGTAGACATGCATTCTTTTTAGTATCTTGCAGTACTTTGCGCAAATGAAAAAGTATTTCTGTCCTCATTTCTTCACAAAATTTAAAGAATTTGTAAAAACTAAATTTTTAAAAGTGAAAAAAAAAAGTGTCTGCAAACCATGTTAAATACATGACGCTGACATATGTAGCACATAAGGAACATCTCATTTTTGTAGGCACATTTGAAACCTTGGATCCTTTTTTTCCATGTAACTCCTAAAGAAAAGCTAACTTCTGAAACAATATCTACATCCACAATATAACAGCAAGAAGAAACTTGGGAATTAATTAATGGAAACTGAAATTCAGCTATCCTGCCCTTACATCCGGCCTCTGTCATCACACGATCAGGCACCGAAGTAGGGACAGCAACGGGCACAAGGACAGGAGCAGCGACGGGGACAGGGACAGGAGCAGCGACGGGGACAGGGACAGGAGCAGCGACGGGGACAGAGACAGGGACGGGGACGGGGACAGGGATGGGTGCAGCAGGCACTGACGTTCTTCCCTGCAGCTGGTGAGTGGCCTGGTGACTGGCCTCTCTGGTGATCTCTGGAGAAGGCACAGTGACCATGTGTCCATCGATAGTCACCAGGCAAGCAAAAAATTAGGCCCACTGCAATGGACCTTTTCCGAGAAGCGTTCTGCGCACGCGCGAGCACCCGATGCTAAGCGGCGGAAGTCAGAACGAAAAATCGAGGAAATTCGGAAGGAGGCCGTATATCAGCGAGCACAACACGTAACTGAAGAATATATATAATTGTGTTACATGAAAAGAGAATGTCGACGGAAAGGAAAACACGACGTTTAGGTGGATGCCACAGATGCCCCTCTTTGAAGTCGCGTAGGGCACGCGCCGCTGCTCGGAGAGCGAAGAAACTGGTAGCCTAGCTCCCTATATCGATTGGTAGCGCAGGTAGGTCACTTCCTCGATTTTTAGTTTGTGCAGCCACCGCCTGGTGCCGTCGGTATGTGGAAAAGGTCCATTGTTAGCCATAAGGGTGCATAATCCTAAAGCACAATTGCGAAACATTCAAGTAAACATGACTGGTAGCTTACCGATCTTGTCGAGGACGACACGCATGAGTCGAAAGTTGGAATCTTCTACTTCCTTTAGTTTCTTTTGAAGCTGCTCAATTTTTCCAAGAGCTGCGTCATGTTCGGCTTTCGACACAACGCCTTCGGCACATGTGGCACAAGCCTTTTCCTCCGCCTTGCGGAGCCTCTTCCGCAGAGATCGCAGAGCTTCTTCAGCCCTATCTAGCTCCGACTTCGGCACAACTGCAGGGTCCTCGTCGTCGGTTGAGTCTCCTGCTAAAGGCCTCTTCTTACTTAGAATGCTCGCCATCTGTTTCCTCTTGGCAAGAGCCTTGCGTTGTTTCAAGTTCTTGTTGGACGCAGAACCTGATGTTGATGCCTAAAATATACAAAATACAATACAATATTGTGGAAGTGCCCGGGTCCGCTCAAAGTGGAACCGTTTTGTAATTGCCATTTTCCACTGCCCTCTTTTGTGGAACTTCGATCTTAAACAATTTATTTTCCACCTCATAGGTCTATCTACTACAAACTAGCTTTCCTTTATTTTTTTCGCTGGCTCGACAAAATACTTCTAGACATCCCCAAGACTTCTTTTCAGGTTTTTAGCATTACAAATCGCGAATAATGACTGAAGTAAGGTATCAAATGTCATAAACACAATAACCAACTCGAAACAAAAGTCTGTGTCTGCAACAGACCCACTTACTTGCACTGGTTCCTCAAAAATCTGGGGAATAACCAGTCGCTTCTTGTGGGCCATCTCCTCGAGAAGTGCCCTCTTCGATTCTGGTGAATAAAAGATAAAAACATGTTAACAGAGCCACAGAACAGATAGGTCAGTCTGACATGACAGGGTCAGGCATACTGATGGCATATCAGCCACTAGTGTTAATTTAATGCTATAGTAATTTTACACCACCAAGCTTGAACTGCACAGTTTGCAAGAAGTAAAACAACCGCCAACACTGCAGAATGATGTCACGTGCAAGCCACATATAAATCCATGGATTCAATGACAGCATTTCAATTATAAGAGAAAAATAAGAAAAGTTAGCGGTCATGTGATTGTGCTGTGTTATGCCCTGTACTCTGCTGATAATCTCTGCCGAAAACATTACAATTATTTTAGTAAGTCACTGGAAGCTGCATTTACGTCACACATATTCTTCCTCTTAACAAATGCTTCAATTATTTGTAGGTGCTCAGACTACCAATCCTTGTGGCAGTTGCATCTTTTTTAATTTCAGTGAAAAAATTTAGAGTGTGCACTACCAGTGTAGATGCACTCACATTCGGTTTAAAGGGAAACCAAAGTGGTTCTGTATTTTTGAAAAAACACATGGATCATCTTCTTTGGCCTCTAGGACCATGAATATCGAAATTATTTTTCAATCTGATGTAGGAAGCCATCGCACAGCATTTTGAAAATAGCACCGAAGTCCCACCCTCTTTGAGCATGACATCACACCCAGAGTTCTTGGAACCTCCGCTCTCTCGTGCCTTATTGAGCACCCATCATAGTCATGCTCGCACTCTTGATATTTTCAGAAAGGTCAGCAAAAAAACATCACAAATGGTGTCACGTGTGGGGGAATATACCTGGTAAGCTTGCAATTGCACGTGCTACCCACATGAGCGACATAGACTTGGTAATCAAAAGATCTGGCGGGAAATTTTTCGAGTTTTCTTGTGTTCAGTTGCATCTTCAGGGAAAACGAATGTGATATTTGGATTCACGGGATAAAAATGTGCTACAATCTGGCTCTAACTCTCCTCAATGGCCAGCGACTCGAGGATCTCCCTTCCAAGCTGTTTCCGGTGTTGTGCGACGACAGTGATGTTTGTGAAGTCAGGAGCACATTTGCATTCCCGATAATGCGCCGAAAGGTGGCCCGCCGACGTTAGTGTGGCCACAGAGGCTGCATGTTCTCTGGTGCGGTCGTTTATGCACCTCCCTGTTTGCCCTATGTAGCTTTTGCCACATGACATGGGGATATGTGATATGTGAGAAGCTTTGTAAGTAAGTGCGACATAATCCGGAGAAAAATGAACCAACGAAAAAGAAACCACCAAAGCCTTTCGTAGTGGTACTATATATACACGGGATCACTCATCGTCTAAAAAAGATCGCTGGCCGACAAGGCATCCACGTTGTGTGCTCAGCCCCCAACAAGGCGTACGCCACGTGCCGTAGGGTGAACCGGGAGACCGACCAGAACGTGACGACGACCTGCGGCACTGCGCATTGAACACCCTATGCCCCATGCGAAAAAGGAGTCGTATACAATACCCCTATGTCATGTGGCAAAAGCTACATAGGGCAAACAGGGAGGTGCATAAACAACCGCACCAGAGAACATGCAGCCTCTGTGGCCACACTAACGTTGGCAGGCCACTTTTCGACACATTGTCGGGAATGCAAATGTGGTCCTCACTTCACAAACATCACTTGTCGCACGACACCGGAAACAGCTTGGAAGGGAGATTACTCGAGTCACTGGCCATTGAGGAAAGGGGGGAAGAATGCGTAAGTGTCGCCTCCATTGCGCTCTCGCCTAAAAAAAAAAATATATCCGCAGGGAGTGGCCCCTCGGAGCAACCAAGTCGGGACTATTTGAATGCCAAGATCCGACAGAGGAAAAAGAAGTTGACACTACCGAAAGTGTAGAAAAAAAGAAAGTTTTGTAAGATCCGACAGCTGAAGAAGAGGTAAACTCTACGGTTAGTGTCGAGAAAAAGGAAGTTTCAGTCTAAGATCTCACAGATGAAGAAGAAGACACCTTTTAGGATAGTGTTGAGGAAAAGAAAGTTTTATTAAAAGGTTGATAGTCCAGTAGTGTGGTTCTTTGTTTTTTTTCTCTCCATCGCTTTTCCTAAACGTTCAACTGGTATTCAAGTAAGCATAAAAAAGATATGCCGCAAATATTGCCAAACGCCTCGACAAAACAAAATGTTCGAGAAAAAAAAGAAAGTGGGCCCACACCGCGGATCAAACCCGCGCCCACTTGCGTATGAAGCAGAAACCTTGCCACTATGCTTTGCCACCGCTTATTAGAAAACTTTTAACTATTCGTTTTATACGAGTTTCGCGTAGTGCGTACACCCTTTTCCGGTTGAGGTGCAGGACGGAGTCCGAATAACTTTACTCATTAAAAGTAGTTACGTCGGAAGTAACGCTGGATATTGCGTTTATCACAATCGTATGTTAAGGAAGTACGATTTCCCAGTATTGCAATCGAGTTCTGAGCTACACAAACTGCACACACTTCCTTTGAGGAAACAGATCAGCGCAGGGCAAACACAGAGGAACAGCAAAGGCCAGGTACTTACTTGCAAGAAGGACCACTTTCGCCTCGTAGTAGCCTTCTTCAAGGCCGGCCTCGGAGCGCCAATACGCTTGCACCGGTTCACTAGGGATGTCAGTCTCCGTTTTTGGATTATAATCCTTGATCAGGCACACAGGCATGATCGCCTTCTCTTTGTCGGCGGGGTAATGTACGTACGCGTAGAACATCGCGAAAACAGAAGAAACATACGAAAAGAAAGTCAAAAGAATAAAGCAACGCTTGCTGGGCTACCAGAAAAAAAAAAACGCACAACGCACAAAACGAAGTGCACAAGATAGAACGCAGTAACACAAAAAGGTGAAAACAACGATACCCAAATCAAAGCAGAGGTCCTGTTAGGACTAGGAGGCACAGGCAAGAGCAGAGCCAGAAAGGAAAGCCGTTCGGGCAACTCCGAAAAATAAAGGTGGATTGGATTGGATTGGACGGGATTGTAATGAGCCTGGAATATCTCTCTTGAAAACAGAAGTGAAACTGCTGTAACATGATGGTATGTTATTGGTGTTTATTCGTTGGAAGAAAATCCTAAATATCATCAAGGCTCATATTAATTATTAAAAATAGTAGAACTTATTAAATATTATTTTTATGACCTCTGAAACACCATACAGCCGTCGATTTAACAAAAACTTGAACTCGCGAAGTCGTCGGAAGTAAACCCCTCACGACTGCGAGCAACTCCCGAATTCTCGGCGCGAAAAGCTCACACACACACACACACGCACGCACGCACAATTCCTTAATTGCAGGGAAGCGAATTTGCGCGGTGCTTCGGGGGCGCTAAAAATTAGATTAAAATGTAACCAAACAGCGTAGCTTCGACGCTGGCCATCGCCCTGGCTTATTATAGATTCGGTCTTCGGCTCTGACTGCGTCTGCTAGTTTGTCCCACCGCGGTGGTCACTGGTCCGCTCGGCTCAGTGGCTCGGCTTGTTCCGTTTCTCGGTTTGCATTGTTTACCTTGAGGTTGTTCGTTGTTCCGCACAGTGCTCTCAGTTTCGACGCTCGGCAGCTCGTACTTGTTCTTCGTCTTGGAAGTGTGGTCGGGTTTGTGTTTCTCCCATTGGCTCTTCTATTAATTGCTCCGTATTTACGTGGACCATTTTTAGGCGGAGTATTTGTGCGTGACTTTCGCTTTCGTCGTCTGCGTTACTTTTGATCGTTCGAAACTCGAACTGGTTCTTTTTTATTATTTTTTTTTTTAAATTTTATTTTGTGCGTCAGTTGCGTCATTTGCGTCATTCTGCTTCTCGCTCCCCTCTGTTCCTCAGCAATTCTACATTTTTCTTTCCTGTTGCCTGTTGTTCGTGCGCGTGTTCACAAGCCTGGTTTGATGGCTGCGTTTGCTCCGTGACTTGTTATCATGGCTAGTAGTGAAGCAACTCGGCGTCTACGATTTGTTTACTTAGAGAAGGGTGCGTCTTTCAAGATACCAAAGTCCACTCTGTCTCGGTGTAAGAAGGCTGTGCCAAGCGGGAACCATTCAGCAACAGCCGGTTCTCCCGTCTATGATGTCCCCAGCGATGGTGACGAGCTCGAGAGTGACTGTGATTCCTGCAGCAGTGACCCTCAGTCGAGAATCACTGCGGAAGACGCTGACTCTTCAGAGAGTAACGGAGAGGAGACTATGACTCACCAGTCACATGCAGATTCTTCAACCTTTTGGGAACAGACCGAGCAACCACCACATATGAGTGAAGAACATGCACTGGCAGCAGGCTTACGAGCTTTTGGAACCCAAACTCTGCCCCATTCGACAACTACCAAGGCAGCAGCTGTTGCGATGATTATGGCGTTTGTGGCTGGTGAAGCCTTAAGCTGGCAGGGCCTTGACAACCTTCTTTTGATGGTCAATGCATTCTTTGCTCCAGAGCAGTCTGTGCTCCCACAAAGCAAGTACCTGTTCCGAAAGCTGTTTGCAGCCGAGGCGGAGTCCGCAGCTGTACGACATTTCTACTGCCGGTCATGCAATGATCTCTTGGAGGTTTCCGCTGAAGATGGCGTCTGTCCGACCTGCGAGACGTCTAGCAACCTCAAAGATGCAAAGAAAGATGGGGCTTTCTTCGTTGTTCTAGACGTCGGCAAGCGGCTGAATCATGTCATTCAGAACAACAAAGCAGCCCTTCACGAAAAGCTGAACCAGATTGCCAGTGACCGGGGTGCTACCACCAGTGTCATCGGTGACATCACTCAAGCCAAAGCGTACAAGAATCTGCAGTCATCGGGGACCCTGGGGGACAGTGACCTCACGTTGACAGTGAACACTGATGGAAGCCCCGTATTTACATCTTCCGGTGCATCCGTCTGGCCCATTCAGTTCACTGTCAACGAGTTGCCAGTGCCTCAACGATTCCAGGTTTCAGTGCTTGCTGGACTTTGGTTTGGGAAGGGACACCCCAACATGACTTTGTTTTTTGGAAAGTTTGTAGAGGGTGTCAAGAGCATGCAACCCGTCCTCTGGCAGCATGAAGGCACACAGCACTCGTCTAGAGCGTACATCTTGTGCTGCTGCGTGGATGCCCCCGCACGCGCATCTGTGCAGAATATGGTACTGTTCAACGGGTACTACGGGTGCCCATGGTGCCTAATCAAGGGAGATTACGTTGATGGTACGTATCTATCTGACCTTTGGATGTAAACGTTCTACCACTGCAAGTTTTGTATAGTCATTTCAACCTCATTTTCAGGGAGCCTCAGATTCCTCTCCTTTGAGGATGCACGTGGGAGAACGTCAGCAGGTGTCCTACGGGACATGAAGGTGGCCCTGGAGTCCTCCTTGGTCATCAACGGCTACAAGGGTCCGTCTCCAGCCGTGAGCCTTCCAGACTTTGACCTGGTGTGGGGGTTCACGGTGGAGTACATGCATGCTGTACTCCTGGGCGTCATTCGCCAGATCACGGAGATGCTGCTGTCGTCTGTAAACGCCAACGAGCGGTTCTACATAGGTAAGATGGCACGAATACTCTTAACTTTTAGTAAAGGTTTTCATGGGAAAATTGTTGATCATTTCACTATCAACCGGGTTCTATAAATTCACAAGAGGATGTTGCAAACGATGGCTATACAAGCCATCATTTGCAACATCAATCACTATATGCATTTATAAAACTGGGGATAGTGAGATTATTGACAATTGACGTAACATTCACTATCACATTTTTTGCAAATGTGCCTGTAAAATACTTCGATTTTATGTATATTATAATCCTACATTTTAAAATGTTTGTAAAACATTTATGAAAGATGCAACAGTTTATTTATTGACTATTGCAAATGTTAAGGCTTTTGTTCTTGTATTTAGCTCTATATTTGCTCAGTTACCAGACATTGTGCTCAATGTTCTGCACCAGCCCAAAGGGGGAAAAATGAATCTTGAGTTGCTAATAGGCAAACTATGCAACCTGCATATAAATATGAAGTCACCAATGTTTGATGTGGTAGGTGGGCCTAGGGCTTCAACGTTTTCTTGGAGCCAGCCTTCTGTACCAAGGATACATACAACATAGCAAACAAACATTAATTTGTTTATGCCCGCGTAGCCATCAGCTTCAAAGGAAAGGGAAGGAAGGAACAAGACAAGCGGCTCTGATAGAGCATTTAGTTCATTGGTGAATCGCAACATAAGGAGAGTGTCAGGCAGTTTTTTAGTTACTGAGCTTTGAACTATATAACAAAAAAAAAGCAAAAAACAATTGTACTGTTACAGATCAGGCATCTTTAGTTCAGAGAGATGTAGAGGCATATGCACCGTGTGGTTGTTGGAGTTTAAAGGGAGACTTAAGTGGTTCTGTATTCAAGAAGAAAAACACTTTGTGCCCTTCAGGATCACAAATATCTAAATTATTTTTCAATCTTATGTAAGGAGCAGTCGTAACAGTGCTTTGAAAATAACGCCGAAGCCCCGCCCTCTCTGAGGCAAGTGAGAGGCGTGATATCAGATGACATTATATGCAAATGTACGGCTTGTCTGCTCATCTCTGCTTTGTTTGCTGGTATCTCCATTTGGTTTTCTGTGACTGCTCGTGGTTTTCTGCGATTGTGCGTGGTTTAATTTTGTTATTCGTTTTTGTTGTTTCGGTCTTCTGTACCATGACAGTCTCACGATTATGCCGACCCTGTGTGCGGCTGTTGGCTCCTCTAAGGCAGCATGATTAGTTATACCACAGTCCTTAGTTATACAAAGTATTGAACTAACTATTGCTTTTTGCAAAGTCGGATGTCGCAAAATCAACATGGTGAAGCAGTAAGAATGCTGGCTTGCTCAATCCAGCATTTGAGCAGAAACTGGGTGAAAGAAATCACTGCCAAGGCCCAGTGCACATGAGAGCTGAAGTTATGGTTCAATATTTGTCTCCGCTTGTGTGCTAACCCTGCCAGTGCTTTTTTTTCACCATGCAGTCTCGGCTGAAATGCTGGCTCGGGCAAGCCAGCTCTGGCCGACCTCCACATCACTTTTTATAAGCTTGACGTAAATCGGAAGCCATCATGAGAGGCTAATCACGGCAATAAATTGGAGAAAGGAAATCACGCCAGCGTAAAATAGGCCAAGCAAATAAATCTGCAGCGAATCATACACGGATTTATGCATCTGGTAAATTCTTTGTGAAAATAATAATGAATGCAACACATCCATAGCCGATATTCACCCCAATAGGAAGCATTCAAATTATAGAACGGAATTTTAGTGGGGTCAATATTTCGTAGATCTTGCAAAGTGCGCAAGGTTAGAAGCTTTTTGCTGTTAAAAAATTTTGCGATTCTGAGTGGTATGCTATGTATTTGTTACCGTTGGGTAAGATATAATTGTGATCTAATGAGGTTTCCAGGGAATTGAATCATGATGAATGTTCACAGACTCACCAACAGGTCTGTGGACGTTTGCCCGCTAGTGCCATTTGGTCAGCGAGCAAGAAGTGGCAGTCGCATGGCAGCGCCATAGTGGCGCCGAGCAAGTGCCACTGCCACTTCATTCAGCACAGTCCCACATTCTCAATTTTCTCTCTTGTGTGTTCTGACGCAACCTGAAAAGATTAGGATACGTACCAGTATGGGTTGCCCACACGTGCATAGAATGCAATGCCGCTCGCCTGGGGCTGCAAGCATTGCCACTCCTCTGGACTCGAAGCCCCCCCCCCCCCCCCCCACACGGATGTTTTCCCCACACTTGGCTAAGGGCTAAAACGCATATGGAGTCATGTAAAGAGCCCTCTATATTTGTTAAACCTCAGGTGCTTAACGGCTCGCCATTCTTTGTGTATACAAGGTGATAGGTGATTATCAGGGTCGCCATTTGAACCTGCGAGCATTCAGGAGCAATACGAAATGACCGCATAAAGCTCTGCATATAACGTAGGGCCGATTCAGCCGATGCTGACCGGCGCTCTTTTTCGTGTTCCTTTTGCATTTAGAGGAATACTTTTCGGCCAAATGGTTGACTTATCCGAAATCAGTGTGTAAAACTACGCTAGAATCCACCTCTAACTCGTTTTTTGTTAGAACCTCTTAAGTTGCCCTTTAACATACTACTGTCACTACACTGAAGCCCTTGGAACAAGTCAAAGGTGATGTCATAGCGAAATGTTTTTTTCTTGTTTGCTTAATATTGCAGGCAGCCCCTCCTCTGTTGCTGCACTAGACAGGCGCCTGCTTTCCATCACGCCTCCCCACTGTGTCACAAGGCTGCCGAGGTCCCTGGCAACTCGCACCAACTGGAAGGCGTCCGAGTGGAGGCATTGGCTCCTTTACTACTGTCTCCCATGTACACTTGGGATCCTTCATCCAAGGTACTGGAGCCACCTGGCCAAGCTTGTTGAAGGAGTGCACCTTCTCCTGAGAGAGGAGCTCACTTCGTCCTCAATTGACCGTGCAGGTGAGGGCAAACATGCTGTTGCACTGTTACTACATGCAATAAACTGGCTGTGAGCATATTTTGCTCTCAGTCACAATGCTCATCCTTATTTTATTGAAGTCAGATCTGGGTGACCATTTTAAACTTCAAGGGGACATTATAATCGTTGAGTTTTGTTTACGAATGGAATGCATGCATCCTTTCTCATGATGGAAGCACTTTACCTGAGAATACTTCATATTTTGTTTATGTTGGTGGAAAAAGAAACCTTTGGGCGCTTTTTAGCTGAAGGCTAAGAAGCACCCGCAATAAACATAGAAGATTCCACAGATGTTTGTAATTGTTTTTGTTATTGCATTCAAGTCTAGATTTTTTTTCTACTTTCTTGTATAATGCCCATGCTGCCCCTCAGCGGAACATAGATAGGGATGATGATGATAACCACAGAAAAATTGGCAGTCCAGTGATAACTGACAACACGGCCAACACAACCGCTTCTCTCCCTGTCTCCGTCTAACATTGTAAACAAAAGGTGGGCCAGATACAATATCTGTATCATAGTTTTCGTTTTACTTCGTACATTATGTCTCCCCAATAGTGCCCGACCTAATTAGATAACCCACAAAAGCCAAGAATTCACGTATAAGCTGTAACTTACCTTGAATATGTCTCCGAGGTACATATTTAGATAGTGTCAACTCCCACTACAAGAAACTTCCACCTACCACTGTCTCAATGACAATATTAAAGACGTTTATACTCCCAGCGACTATTGGCTCCATATTGGTACAAGCATTTACTTATTTATAATCTCTGTTGTGGGATTTCAGAGTAGATTTTGATAGGTAACTTGGATCAGTAAAATATGTATTTGAGAAAAGTCGCAGCTTCACTCTTCAAGTCTTTGATTTTTGTGGGTCATTTTAGGTTTGAAATTTATTTTTGGGAACACCGGTAAAAAAGACTCGAGGTACATCTAAGCACTTACGAGTTGAGAATGCGGAAGCATGAATGTCATTCTTCGTGCCACGGCCGCTTCTGATCCCCTCGGCACCAAGGCTGCTTCTGAACCTCTCGGCGCCACGGCCGCATGTAATCCTTTCGGCGCCACGGCCGCATGTAATCCTTTCGGCGCCTCTTCCATTTTTGCCTTGGTGCAGGCACGCAGTGCCATGGGGTGGTCCAAATTGAGATTGAGACACGTCAGCTTCATATCATAGCCGTTTTGCATGACTTTTTGCATAGTTTCAGAGCTGGGATGCCTCAGATCACGGCTTCAGGAATTTATCTGCCGTTTGGTGCGGCTGATGACGTCTGCTCGCTCCATGGGACCAGTTAATGCTTTCACATTAATACCAAAGTAGCGCCCACCCCACTTTCAGTAAAAACTGGGTTAATCTAGAGATGGGCACTTGTCCGGTCAAATCAGGTGCTTAACGCATGATTTGCGGTATCCCCAAGTTTGGGAAGTGTTAATGGTGGGCGCTTGAACGAAGTGGGTGCTTCCACGGTATTTTTTGGTACGTACAGAGTGCGACACTGTTAGCACGAACGAGCGATCGCCGGTTTTTCCAGTTTTTCTCTTTGAAACTAAAGGGCGTCATCCAAGTTATTGCTACAAAAAGAGCTCATTTAGATCTTTAATGTAAGCAATAAAATTTTGTGCTTGCTTATATTATTTAGAGGTAAAGTGCGAAAATGCGCCGATGTTGTGTTTGCGCTAGCAGTGTCGTGATGTGTACATAGTACATAGAAGTTAAGGCAATTGGCATTGAAATTGGTCTATGTTTAAACTGAGCTAAGGAACAGAAGTCTACCTTTTGGATAGACCGGGACTATAATTCTAATTGAGGTAAACCTGGATGATTGTGCCAATATGGATAACACTGGAAGGTGTAGAATATTGTAAAATGTTTCAGGCATTGCTTAAGAGCCATCAGAATATTGCATGCTAAGTGTCGAAAAGTCTTGGTATATTATTCTCAGTAAAGGTCCGAATAGACAGGGTGTCAACATCTTTTATGCATTGACGCTACATAATGCTTACTGCACAGCCAAGAAATTAGTTTTTTATCACTTAATACCAACCACCTTTTACTTACAGATGCTCTACTGCGGACCTTTGTAGCCTCCACAGCGACACTGTACAAGGATCAAGCCATGACGTTCAACATTCACCAGATGCTCCACCTGGCAGAGGCGGCTCGGCAGATGGGGCCGCTCTGGGGCCACTCTGCCTTTGTATTTGAAAGTGGAAATGGCCGCCTAGTAAAGCTTGTCACTGGCGCCAACGCAGTCCCCAGTCAGATTGTGGAAAGGGTGTTCATGGCACAACAGTTAGATTCTTTCCTGGCCTCACCACTCGTGCCTGATAGCAGCAAAGACGTGTGCCACAGAATGCTGGGCTATCCCAAGCTGGTCAACTTCGTTTCCATAGGTGATGTTGGCTTGCTTGGGTGCCCTAAAAAACTCGTCTTTTCTCCAGAAATCAGGATGGCACTTGCAGAGTATGTTGAAGAGTGCCCTGCCCTTGCTGCCGGGTACCAGAGATTTGTCCTCAAAGGGCAAATCTTTCGCAGCAGGGCAAACAAAAAACTTCTGAAGTCTGACTCATCTGTTATCCAGACACATGGCCTAGACTATCGGGTTATTCGAAAGATCCTGTGTGTAAGTTCGAAAGTATTCCTTGTTTGCGACGACATCGTGATCAACGAAAGCCAACTCCTTCCGCACCACATTAAGGAATGCTTTATATCTAGGGTGGGTGCGGTACATGTTGTTGAGCCATCGGATCTCAAGGCATCTTGCCTTTTCTTCCAGTTTCGGAACCAAGGTGCAAGCGTGTCGTATGTTTGCGACCTGGCGAACAGCATTGAACGGGATTGAAGCAAGCTTGCTTCACCTCTGTATAGTTGCAGACTGATTTTTCGGACTCGAAAGGATTCCCCTAAAAATGTCAGAATAACCAAGCAGTTTGAAAAATTTATGTCAGCCTACATTTGAAGATTCCATGTAACCGCTATTCGGTATCGATGGCAACAAGCAAAAAGTTTGACGGCGTCCGCGATTTCTGTCAATGTTATATATTAGCTGCATGGGGTGAGTGACGTCGTGTAAAAACATCTGTGATTGGGCACGTTCCCAATTTCTACGTCCGAAATGTATATTTACCTAATTTACTTTCTGTATAGTGATGCCTATGTGGGTACCATTTTGATTTACAGTATCTGATATTTTTGTGTGAGACTCTTGGATCTTATCACGCTGTTACTGCTCCGCCATATCCAGCCTTGTAATTAAAGCTGTGGTGGCTAACAGTATGCATGGTGTATGTAAATATTGCAAAGAATGTTTATTTGATTCCGCTCTTTTATGAATGTTATTTTTAGGGCACATCTACTACAAAACTGATGATTGTTTAATTGCACTACTCACCAGAATGGATTTAGGCGTCTGCTAACTGTACTAGTGGTTCAAATATTGAAAGTGCATTCCAAAATGACAATAACTGCTTTAAGTAGTTTTAATAGATGGTAATGCAGCAGGCATGCCAATGCAAACATTCATATTTTTTTTTTATTGTTGATGACCTAATTATTTGTTTTATAACTTTTGTAATTATTCTTACTAATCAAATTCAAGTAAAAAAATGTCATGTATACGTAAGCTCATCTTTGGAGTAGAAATGCATGCGTGCATTGCTCAAATTGTCTATTGTATGTCTTTCCATGTCTGAGAAGTCGAAACAACATTACCGTGCGTGAAATGCAATAATGGGCACCGACACAGACTACCTGTCATTAACCAAACTAAACACGACTATACACAATCGGTATATCAAGTTGTCTGCCGGTGGCTGAAGTTCACGGGAATGTTCCAATTTCTCAGACATGCTCCATGTTCTATGACCTGCTCAGACATGCTACATGCTCTGAAAACTTGATTAAAATGTGAGCTTGCTACATACTATTAACTTTTTCAGGTCATACTGCAGCCTTTGTATTTATGCTTTCCTGTGTATGTGTGCTTCTTTTAGGCTTTTTAAAATGTTTGTAAATAAATATGACTCAACAACTTGACTGTCAAAAGCAATAATGCATTATTATTTTCTAATGTCTTTGCATGCTCTTATAGTGAAGTCGTTTAGCACATGACAATCTTTATACTGTTAGTGAAGTTCATTTAGCACATGACAATGTTTATGCTGCTAGTGAAGTTCATTTAGCACATGACAATGTATATGCTGCTAGTGAAGTTAATTTAGCACATGACAATAAGTCTGCTTCCTCTCATATTTAATGAGTGTATTAGTGGCATGTGGTAATTTAATGTAAATTAATTAAATGTTCCAGGTTAACAGCGATTCTACACTCGTGAACTTGCTCATGAACCATATGTGTGTTGCCATACTTCAGAGGCTCACCAACCCAGTTGAAAATTCTCATCAAGTTCTAATTGGAATTATCTTATTGTATGTATTGTATGTGCGCATACTGACGACGACGACGAAAATTCCGCAAACGAACAATTAGGTTTTTGGGACAACCAATTGGTCACTGCCAATGGGAACCAACAGGAACCATTTGGAACCCATTCAGTATCCAACTGGAAAAATAATTCCAATTTGTGGGACTCATTGGCCAGTGTGCTTCCAGTAGAACCCACTGAAACCAATTGGTTCCAGTTAAAACCAGTTGCGGTTCCAACTGAATTTAATGGGAATTTATAACGGGTTAACCTTGTTTAAAAGGCATTGAACTTCTAACTATACCAAATCTGCCGTTTTTATAGCTTCATTTGACCGCTAGGAACATTTAGCACGCAATGCCTAGGGTATCGAACAAAACGAGGCAGACATATACACTATTTCAACTGGACTTGTCAATGTTTGGCTAGTGCGAACCGGAGGGTATACCTGTTCACAGACTTGACCAGTTACTTTTACTTCAACTGATTTTGTCAAACGTTTGTGGAAACGGGTGATTTTCAGTTCAGGCATTCTCCAGAGTGCATTAGAACTTGAGTTGTTGACATCCGGTTTGTGAAAACCGGATATTGTCTATCCGGATTTTCTCCGGTTTGACTTTAAATTGGAGTCGAAAAATCCCGATTTGAGCAAACCGGAAATTGTTTGTCGGATTTTCTCCGGTTCGACTTTAAATCGGAATCGAAAAATTCCGATTTGAGCAAACCGGAAATTGTATATCGGATTTTCTCCGGTTCGACTTTAAATCGGAATCGAAAAATTCCGATTTGTGCTAACCGGAGATTGTCTATCCGGATTTTCTCCGGTTTGACTTGAAACCCGAGTCGAAAAATCCCGGTTTGTGCAAACCGGAGTGTGTCTTTCCGATTTGATTTTAAACCGGATTTAGATTTCCGGTTTGATTTCAAACCGTTATTTTTGGTAGGTATGTCTCAGTTCAGTAAACCCTTCAAAACGTAACACACATGAGAAAGCAAATCCCAATACATTCTTTCTGGCATAAAGTGACCACTGAACCAGTGTCGATTTCCATCGTCACCAAATTCCCTTAGATTTCCAATACCTTTTGGAATGCCGCAGATGTGTCATTCTTTCGTTTACAGGTTACGTACGCTCCAAGGTCTGAGCTTGGTGTTCGAAGTAGGCTTAGGCTTAGCCGTACACACTGCCTTAGTGTATGTGCCCCTGCTTCCCGAATTTGAAACACTTTGCTTTCAAAAAAGAGCAGTTTTCGGAGGCATGCACGGTACTAGTGCATCAAAAATAAGGGCCTGTTGTGTGCTGGCACTGGGCCTGTGGCAAAGCAGTGGCAGAAGGTGGCCACCGTGAGTGTCCTTCACCATCACCTTGAACGCGGTGCATGTCCATTGAATCCGAAACGCCGGGCTGTCGTATCTCGTCCGTTTTTCACAGAGGAAGATCATCGGACAGGCCCACCTTGAGAACTTTGTCGAAGTACTCGTCGATAGGCTGGATGAGTGTCCGCTGTACCTCAGGGTCGCGACACCCAGTCACGAGCCAGTCTTATAGAGCCTGGTCGAGGTAGTCTTCGAACGCGCATGTCTGGGCAAGCTTCTTGATAGCCAAGGAGAAGTCTGCTAGGCTCTTGCCAACCTCTTGATTCTTCCATGGAACCTCGTGCACTTTGCAATCGCTAAGAGCTTGGGTGCGTAGTGACTTTTGAGCAACTCAGAAAGTATGTTGTACGATCTTATTGGCGAGTCTGGGACGAGCAAGGTTTTCAGAACCTAGTACGGCGCTTTACCGATGTAGTTCAGCAGCGTCACGTCCTTGTCTTCGTCTTGACGGCATTTAGTCGAAGGAAAATCTTGAAGCGTTCGAGAAACTCGCATACCTGCCAAGTTTTATGATTTTATTGAAAAGTGTCCGCTTTCCAGCGCTTTCTTACGGTTGTTGTATTAACAACAATATTTGTACAATTTTCGGCACCCCGTGTAAAAAAAAAAGAAAAAGGTTTTTGTTTAAGCTGCGTGTCGGTTGTTTACAAGTTGGGGTTGGCAACACTGGTACATCGACTTGTATGCCAGGAGGCGCAAGCTACTGCTCCTCGTTGTTAGGCAATTGTCATTGAGGTCAGCGTTGTAAGGGGTGGTATAGCCGCTAACATCCATCCATCCATCTTAATCCGAAACTGTTTAGGAAATCTCCTTTGTTGTGGCAACGTTGGTTGTGGCAAACGTTGTGCTTTGTGTTACTGGGACTTTTACTCATGATCCTTTGAAACCATCTTCGGTACAAGATGTCGGGAAAAAATAGTTGCAAGTGTTAATTCCGAGCTATTCAACCGACTTTTTATATATGAAGACGTCGCGTAAGGGCGAAAGGTACGGATTTGGTAGTCTGTGTCGCTGCAATGTCAACATTTCGCACGCTGGTCGCCGGGACGTTCTGTGTCATCTGAATACAAAAAAAGCACAAGGACTCTGCAAAATTAGTTGAAACCAACGAGAAGGTTGGAGGGTACTTTAGTCGATCAACGAATTATGACACTACCTGAACAGAAGGCCTTTTTACGGCATTTTTGATCGAACTCAACGAGCCGTTCATGTTGGTTGTTGTGGAGACGTTAAGGAGCAAGAACTTTGCTCTAACGTCTTCATTAAACCAGGCACAGGCCAAAGAGTTTTCAGCAAATTGAAGAAGGCACACACGCAGTTCCGCTCCTCTATGTCGAAAAAGACTCTTGAACAGTTGTTAGTTGTGAGATGCAGCCAGTCCGGAAAGTGCCATGAACCAGTGGTCGGCAACAACTTCCTAAGAAAAGCAAAAGCTGCAACTTCCTCAGTGTTGGCCCAGCCTTCTACTTCTGTAGAATAAGACATTTTGTGCAATCTATGATGTGTTTGTGCCCTAGTTGAGGCATTTTTCTTACCTAAACCAAGTTTTTGAAGACTAAAACAGTTTTCGTATTTCTTCACACAATCGTAGTGTTTTTTAGCATCCCCTGTAGTATTTTCAGCATTGTAGGGTTGGCAGGTCTGTCTCGTCGATGTCGTCCTCCACCGGCTTGAACTCCATGATCGGACAAATCGAACTAACCGACCCCCTCGGTTAGCTTGATTTGTCCGATCCTCGTTGCCATTGTTGTGTCGTGC